ATTATCTTGAGAGAAATATTCCAGAGAAATTAGAATATTTGTTTCAGGATACAGTAATCATTAAGTGTAACACCAAAAGAAAAACTATCAAAGAATAATAAACTTCATCTAAGATTTTAAGTGTAAACTTACAGTGGCCACATGAAAACAGTGAGTCATATTTTATATCCTTGAGTCAACTGAAATACCAAAGGATAAACTTCCTTTCTTGCTACTGTGCATATCTTGGCTAGCAAGAAATGTCCTGTGAACTCCAAGCACAAATATGGCCCATTGTTTCTCTTTGTTATTATTTTTCTATTAATACATCAGCCTCCACTTGCATTATGAACAGAATTTCAAGTGTCTTCATTGTTGATTTCCTTTCCCCTGAAGGATCCCCAAATTTCAGATGCCAAAATTGAGTTCCTATCAGTTTGCACGCCCAACCAGACAGCACCCAAGTCCCCTACTGCCATTTCTTCTCAGTGTCACAAGGTGGCGCTACTGAGAATGGGATTTCAAGGCACAGGCACTGACAGTCCGCCTAGCAGAGAATTGTTCCAGATTCCTGCAGAGCGGTCCCTCTAACGCTGCAGACACCTGTATTTTTTTTTTTCCAAGGCAATTGCGTCTCGGGGAGCCCTGCATTCTGTCTGCCTTCGTGGCTGATCGTTTTCAGGTTTTCCGGCCTGAAAAGCACTCACCTCCCTCAGAGTTTGCAGCTCAAAAACTGACAGAAAGTTGTTCTGGTGTGAGGCTCTTAAGGCGCTGATCACTGTCCCCTTCCTCCCGGGGACTCCCATTCCACCGTGTCCAGTGGATCCGCAACACAAAGGAAACAGGTGTGATTAATTACATCCGTTCCCCTGAAGAGAGCGCTGTCTGCCGCGAGAGAGGGGCGTGAGGGGCGTGAGGGGCAGTGAGGAGAGGGAGAGACAGAGACTGAATTTTTTCAGACACTGTTCTCTCAAGACAAAAACTTTGCGATAATGACAATGGCAGATGACAGTGTTCTGGACCTGGATGGAGCACAGCAGAGCTGAGAATTAATTAAAAAGCAAAATTAACAGGCTTGATTGTACTCGGAAGTTGAAGAGGACAAGTAGGCTCTAAACTCAGGCTTTTCAACCAAAGCAACCTGACTCTCTAAACAGATAGGGCCCAGGGCTTCTATAATCACTGTAGCGAGCACATGACTCAAAAAAGGAATGTGTGGAAAAATAAAAAAGTCAGATATACCCATATGGTCCCTTTAAGTGCACCATAAAAACTACCAGTGTTAGAAGTGTGTTATGCCACAGGAAATACAAGATCATGAAGGTGACATTCCTCCAGCTGGTAGCCACCCCACAGGCTCCACTCCACCTCTGTCTGATGTACCTTCAACAATGGAAACTGTGGTATTTCTGGTTCTTTCCTTACACAACATACTAGATTATTTCCTTCTCAATAAAACACAAGCTAAAGCCTTGTAATAGTGGCAAGCTATTAGGCACAACTGATCTATTCATTATCATTATGCTGTTTTATCTCATTGAATTAAATGAAGATTTTGTAAGTATTTTCCAGTCCAAATACCTGACAGGCTTCTGTGTAGCTTAATTCTCTGATTAAACGTAGCGGAGTGAGGACCTCCTTACCAAACATGAATATAGTAACAAATGCATGCACGCTGTCCTAAAGAAGCTCAAAGCTGAATTTTCTATTATATTCTTTTTTTGAAATTTATAAATATTTATTAGATTATTTCTTAATGTTGCCCCCACTCCTCCTACACAGCCACTTTCTCAGCTCCAACTCACCCATCTGGGGAGACTCCATCAAATCACAGTGATTTGCAGCGCTTTTGGTGTTCCCACTCAGATTACATTTCTCCTCTTACTCAACACATAGAAAAATCGCTTACTTTTCCCACTCTTTCTGTACTTTTTCAAAACATTCCCAGGTGATTCACCAATTGCCATTATTTCCCAAATTCACTTATAAATTGAAGAGAGAAAGGCCTAAGATAGTGGTGAATGGTTCACATCAGCAGAAAGAACAACGCTTTGTAAGCAGAGAAACAGTTCTGATTTTGGCTCTGCCTCTAAGAACTGTATGAGCTAGTAAAACTGACTTCGCCTCTGTGAGCCATGGCTTGTTGATCTGACGGGGCCTTGTTATGAGGATACAACAGGGTCATAAATGAAGTTTCTGGAATGTTCCACATCTCCTTGTACTTACATCTGTTCTCGCCCCACCTCCCCACCAACGGCAATCCTTAGTAGGATATAGGGCAAGCCCCAAAGCTTAGGGTTTTCTCCATGACAGCCCTGAGCCAGGGTCCTAGAAAGGTGACTCATGCTTAAAGTAATCTAAGGGATCCATTCCCAGGCCTCCAACGGAGATAAGGACTGCAAGGGTACAGATGGCCTGGGAAAGAGCACTTTTGCTCTGGTTACTATGGGTGGCAGCTGGTCCACCTGCCCACTGACAGCCTCTCCTGTAGCCCGTGGGTAAATCTAGTTTTGGATGCAGGGAAGTTCTGAAGATGTGGGGAATCTGACTCAGGACAGCCAGGGCCTCTGTCTCAGTGGCTAAGTGCCTTCTCCAGAGTGGCTGTTTAGAGCAAAGGGACAGGAGCTGCCCTGCATTTTGTGTCCACTGGCAGTGCGGCTTTAAATACCAGGGAAGTCCTGAAGCTCCACTCTGCCTTTCACATTATTATCCTGCATGAAAAGGCCAGGAGAAAAGAAAGGGGAAAAAAGCCTTGAATGGATGAGACCTGCGCAGGAGTCTTCTGCTTAGTCCAGCTTGGCACACCGCGCTGGCTGAATCACAGCTTGGTTAGTTTGGGACACTTGTCACATTTAGGGAGCAGACTAGCTTGAATACGAAAGTTAACTTCTTCCGCATCATATCAATAATTAAAAATCATAAAAGAAATAAGCAACCTGAAGGGAAAAGAAATTGACAGAGGAAAGAAGTGAAAGCTGTGATCAGAATTTTAGGGTTGGTCACAGCAGTCGCACTTGCTTCAGTGCCCAGCTGTAGGAAACAGACGGCCTGGCCGCCCTCTCCTTGACCAGCTGAGAGCTGAGCGTCTTTAGGCTCCGCAGTACCCATGGTAACGCGCCGCTTGCCCTTCTAGGACCCCCGAGGGGGGTCTTCTCTTTGGTCAGGCTCTACAGACCCTGAGAAACTGCGGGCTGAACCACAGCTTGGTTAGTTTAGGGCATGTGCCACGTTTGGGGAGCATGTTAGCTTGACTATGAGTTGTAGCCTCTCCAGTGTAGGAAGAGAGGAAAAAACAGAAAATGGAAACACGAATTAATTAGTGATAATTAGTGATTGTAAACTTCACAAGGCAGATCATTAACTGTTTTATCCACTCATGTATTCCAAGCTGTTAGAACAATTGCTGTGGTACCTGTTGAATGAACTGAAATGTTTGAACAACATTGCTGCAAGGCATCTTTAACTCATGCCAGCATTTGCCTCTTCTTAGTAGCTTTATGTAAAAGAGAACTATGTGTCACATATATTTACATGTGTTACACTTTTGAGGTTTATGAAAACCCACAAGCACGCATTATCAACAATTCATCCTATATTTTTCAAAATATATTTCCAATATACAGTGTTTTTCTGTGATATATTTAATTATTTTATATTTCAATACAATTACTAGCAGCAGAAACTTGAACAATGTTCAACACTCATATGTGCAAATAATGAAGTTAAGCTCAAGTTTGAAGAAATGGTAAACACTTTTTTAATAGACAACTTTTTAAAGCAATTTTGGATTCATAGCAAAATTGAGCTGAAAGTACAGCAATTTTGCATATACACCCTGTCCCTACTCCCATCAACATCCTCCACCAGCACCACCTGATGAATCTACATTGATATATCATTATCCAGAGTCCCTAACTTACTTTAGGGTTCGTGCTGGGGGTTGTACGTTCTGTGGGTTACATACACTCACCATTACATAATCAAACAGTGTTTTCACTAACCTATGCTCTACCTATTCACCTCCTAGCAATCACTGATCTCTTTTCTGTCCCCATAGTTCTGCCTTTTCAAGTTAACTTCTAGTTGGAGTCATACAGCATGTAGCCCTTCCAGATTTGTCTTTCTCACTTACTAATATGCATTTAACTTTCCTCTTTGTAGCAAGTACTTTTTAAATAGTTCTTCCCTGCATTAGAATATAAACACTCTGCCATTAAAGTATGAGAAATTATCCTTTTAAAGGGGAAATGCTAAGAGAAATAATTGTTTCAAAAGAGCCAATATAAACAAATGAAGTCCATATAATCAAAGACAAAAAGGTTTGCTAAAGTTCTGAGTTGGAATGAAAAAATAATCGTGTTAATTTATAAGATTATTCGAAGGAAAATCTAGCAGTTAAAGCACATGAACTAAAGCTATATAGTTCATTAAGGATAAATCTCAAAACCAGAAAGTTGAATACAAAATACACAGTAACCCTATGAAATATTCTTGCCAAAAATACTGAATCTAAATCAACCAAGCCCTACAAGCTGAAAGGCTATGTGCAGAGTGAAAGATTCCTCAAAAAAGTAAAAATGGAGCTAACATCTAATTTACAGGATATTCCAGTCTACAGAAACTAATTAAATGAGGATGAGTGTATGGGGATTTATTATATCCTGTCACCTTTTGTCGATATTGTCTCAATTAATTTTTGCTTACATCATCTGAATGAATTTACTTTTGAAAACACAATTTATGTATTTAGTTAATATTTAACAATAATTTTTTCATATGCTTATCACAAAAATTCTATTTCTAGATGAATTTTCCTATGCGACGATAATAGGTCAAAATGTTACAGTCCCTGCAACTTTGACCCTGTCTACTCTACACTAACGCACACAAACTCTTGGGAAGGTGAAAACAGTTGGCGGAAGAAAAATGTGTAGGGAACGCTTCGACCAGCGAGTTGAGTAGTTTCCTAGAGAGTCACCGGAAATGATTATTGGCCGATCTAGGAAGTGGAGCTAGTCCGTTTTTCTCGTTTTAATTTTTTTGGCAGGGGCAGGTTCTCCGGAGATAAACGAGATCTGCAGCCGAGGGGTCCCTGGGCTGCTACACGGAGCCTAGAGCCCGCGGAGGCGCGAGTGGGCAGGAGCCCGGCACCGCCACCCGTCTCTCGGACCCAGCCTAGGGTCCCCGGAGTTGCGGTCGAGGGGTGGGGCATTGGGGTCTGATTTGGGCAGGTGGTCCTCTCGGTTTCCTCCGGCAAACGGGACTTTTGCCATCCATTTTTCCTACCTCCTCCCACTTTTGCTCCCTGGATTCTCTGACTTACTCTTTTTTATTCTCTTCGGTTTTCATTCATGTATGTTTTTTCATTCATTTATTCAGCCATCCTTTAATCCAACTCCTACTAATGAGGGCTGTGTTTTAGGTATTCTGGGAATACAGCAGTAAACAAGACAAGACGAAAATCACCACCTTCATGGAGCCTAGAGCCTACATTTTAGCGAGGGTAGGAACGACAGTAAACAACAGAGCTGGTAGATAAGCAACTTAAGCACCATGTTGGAAAGTGATACAGCGCTATAGAGAAATAGAAGAAGAATTCATATGAAGCAGGTAAGGCATCTCAATATTGGAAGGAGGGGGTAGATTGGAATTTTAAACATGGTGCTTAGAGTAGACTTCCTTTTTTCTTTTTTTTATTTTTATTTTTTTGACAGGCAGAGTGGCTAGTGAGAGAGAGAGACAGAGAGAAAGGTCTTCCTTTGCCGTTGGTTCACCCTCCAATGGCTGCCGCGAGCCGGCGCACTGCGGCCGTTGCACCGCGCTGATCCGATGGCAGGAGCCAGGTACTTATCCTGGTCTCCCATGGGGTGCAGGGCCCAAGCACTTGGGCCATCCTCCACTGCACTCCCTGGCCACAGCAGAGAGCTGGCCTGGAAGAGGGGCAACCGGGACAGAATCCGGCGCCCCGACCGGGACTAGAACCCGGTGTGCCGGCGCCGCAATAGACCTCCTTGGGAAGATGCCCTGTAAGCAAGCATTTGAAAGAAGGAAGATGATTAGCTGTGGGGTGAGGGAGACAGTCCTAGGATGAAAGTGTGCTTCTAAGAGGGAAAGAAAGGTCCGAGTAGCTGAAGGGAATTACGCGAAGGGGAGAATGATGGAGGATGACGTCAAGGGCAGTGGTCACATCCTGAGGACTTGTATACCACTGTTGAGGACTTCAGCTTTTATTTTAAGGTTGAGCCACTGGAGAGTTTTGAGCAAACAGATGACGTGACCCAACTTAGGTCGTAAACAGACCATTCAGACTGCCCTACTAAGAAGAAACAGGAAAGCATGGAGACCAGTCAGCAAGGTGGTAATGGGTGATGGTGGCTCAGACCAAGTTAGTGGCAGTAAAGACTGAATTGAAGATGAGTTAACATTTTCAGTTTGTCTAACTGTGCTCTCCCATCTCCTGCAGCTCTCCCCCTCTTTGTGATCCCCTCTGTTTTTCTGTGCTCATTCCTGCCTTTTCTTTTCACCAAATATGCAGGGAAACAAGGGGGTGAGTGACAGCTGGCTTGATGTTGCTGATAGTCCCCAAATCCAGGGCAGTGTTTGACACACCAAAGCATAGAGCAGCTGTCTTCTGGGTCGGGAAGGGGCCCCTGACTGGCCTCTCCGAGACCTGTGTCCCCCAAAGGAGACTGCTCTCTACAGGAACCACCTGATAATTTGTGTGGAAACTGAGTCTGACCAACAGGAAGACTGGTAAAAAGATGCAGCAGGTAAGTGAAGGAGCGTCCATAAAACATCACTGGGAAGAAGAAGTGAGTCAGACAAAAAGGAAAGCGGCAGGAGTGGTGGGCTGGACTGGCGTTCTGGAAGCCTTTCCTTTTGGATATCATTTTTACTGCCTGTAGTTATAGAGAGTAAATAGTTCCATTTGTATTGTGCCCCCACCCCTCCTGTATTTCAGAAAGAGAGAGTCTTCATGGATAAACTGTGGTTACTTGTATCTTTCCACATATTTTCCTCACCTCCATAACCTCCTTGAATTCATTCTGCACCCTGTATTAGGTTGTACTGTCAGATGGGAGTCCAGGTCTACCAAGCCAGCTGTTTTGTACACCTCCTGATACCCAGCTACTTCAGGAAACAGGTGAGGCTCTGAGTATGTAGCAGGAGTTGTGGATCTCAGAATGAAGTAGGAACACAAAATGGGTGGAAAATGCTTTCGTAGGGACCAAAAATGTGTTAATTAGTAAGCACTTATGCAAAGTCTTCTGTAGTTTCTGTACCAGACTTGGATCAGAATTGACAGTAAATAAATTATTCAGCTTTTGCCCTAATCATTAGCCAGATATGGTCAAAGATTCATGAGAAAAGATTCTACAAAGCAATTTATCAAATATATACATTAATTCACTATGTGTGTAATTTTACATATAATAAATATCCTTTACATTTGTACATAATTATTTACACATATAAAACATGTGGTATAATCCAAAAACTCCTATACAAAGTAGTGATTACTATTTTGCCAACTTATAAAGTTGGAATACATAGGGAGCCACATTAAACTACTGTTCAACATTGGCATCCCCTATTGGAATGCCATGTCAAGCCCCCACTACTCTTCTTCCATTCCAACTTCCTGCTAATGCACTTGAGACAGCAGCAGAGGATGCCTAAGTACTTGGAGACCATGGTAGAGTTCAAGGCTCCTGGCATCCACCTGACCCAAACCTGGCTTTGACTTGACTTGTGGCCATTTGAGGAGTAAACTAGTGGATGAGAGATACCTGTCTGCCTCTGTCTCTCCCACTCTCTGTCACTTTGCCTTTTAAATAAACAATTCTTTTCTAAAAAAAAAAATTTGAGTGTGTATAATTAGTCTTCTGATGACTTTTCTGGAACTCTGAGATTTTTAAATTAAGGAGTGAGTCCCTGGGAAATATAAGATAAAGCAGTACGAAAAGAAGGAGTAAAGATTTTCCCATAAAGCTTTGAGGAAAATGAAAGAAGATGAGTTAATGGGAGGCTAGGCTCTAGAAGTGCTTGTTGTTCTAAAAAACAATCTGTAAAAGTGAAATTGACACTTTGAGAAGCAATGACTTTGTACAGCCCTTGTCTTGACTGTTGAGGAACAGTTTTTTTTTTTTTTATACTATTTGTTGAACTCTTTACTTAACAAAGTCAATCGTATATTTATAAAGTTAATTTAAAATACATCTTGGTAAAAAATAATAGTGGGAATAGGAGAGGGAGGAGGAAGAGAGGTAGGAGAGTAGGTGAGGGGATGGGTGAGGTGAGGTGGAGGAGAATCACCATGTTCCTAAAGCTGCAATTATGAACTGTATGAAGTTAGTATTCCTTAAATAAAAGGTTTCGGGGGTGGGGGGGGACTTAAAAAAAAATAAAAGAAATTTTAAAAAAGGAGCACTCGTTGTTGACATATGAAAAAGAAAGTGATTAAAATTTGTAAAATGGGAACTGATGGATGTGGGACTTAAAAGATGCTGTTTAGCAAATCTGGAGTCATACAATCAGATACAGAAAGGCACAGACTTCTGGACACAGGTCTGTGTGCACCCAGGAGGCTTTTTGTTATATATTATCTGCAGAAAGCAATGTAAGATGTCTCTCAGCATGCTGTTAAAACTTGCAGAGCGATCCTGAAATGTCTACTGTACAAGGAATCGTAAGTGAACATTAATAATATAGAACATATTCTTTTAGATTTAGAAGTAGAAAATAATAGGTATTGTTAAATGTGGGTGTTGATTTTTTTCACCCTCAATGTAAAAATATTTACACTCTGATGTTCATACCTCACCCAAGACTCCCAGTCCTCTTTCTCTCAAAAGGTCTTAAATTGTCCTCCCAATTCATAGGGGGGACCATAAAGTTACCTAATATACAGTGTTAATGTATTACTCTCGTTCTGTAAGATGCTTTACAAAATGGTTTCATGTTGTTGTTTTTGTATGTCACCTGTCTTCTAAGTTCATTTCTAACTTTAGAGGAGAAACTGACCTTTCTTTTTTTTTTTTTTTTAATATGAGAAACTGACCTTTCAAATTCTAAAGCTACAAAAAGAAAGCTTAAGATTTGCTGATTTAACAAAACTTTCCTAGTTATGCAGATGATATGGTAAAAATTAATTGGGATGTATATGAAGGAGAAGTTTATATTACATAGGTATTTGCTTTTGTCACAGTCCATCCCATGATATACTTAAGACTTACATATTTCATCATAAGTAAACTTTACATAAAAAATAATGTAAATACTATGGCCTTTCAGATAGATGGATATATATATATATATACATATATATATATATAAAGCAAATACTGGAAAATGTTAATTGTAGAATATAAGAAGTTGGTATACAGATCTTTACCTTTTTTAAATTTTTCTCTGTATTTGAAGATATTCATAATAAAATGTGGGGAAAATTCCAGTTGAGAGCTTTGAGTTTATTGATGCAATAAGGAAAAGAACAGTTATATAACATTATAAGAGAAAACGTGTGTGCTGTCAACTCCCTGCTGTCCAGGCGAAGTTTTGTTTGTTTGTTTGTTTGTGTGTTTGTTTTTTGTTTTATAGACAAAGAATTATAAAGTAATTTGGGGCTTTTAGAGTGAGATAGTAGAAAAACTGACAGGAACCACTGTAATTGAGACATGGGCTTAATCTTAATCAGAACCTAAGAGTAGCCTAAACCAAAGAAGAGTGTTCTTGGAAGATTTCTGTGGGAAGAAATAAGTCTGGTTCTGAATTAAGGATTGGGTAAAACTTGAACAATAGTTTCCTGAGCCTGAGGCCAAAGGGTAATCCTAGACTCTTTCTAAATGGTGATTTTGACCCTGCCAGTATCTTAACAGAGGAAATAAATTATTCCAGACTTTGGGATGTATAGACAATCAAGAAAGATAAGTCACCTTAAACATTGAAGCTACAAGGTTCAGATGGCCTACAAGGAGTAAACCAGGACTCCGTTAATTTGAACTTAAAACTGTACTTCTCATCCAATCCATGTAGATTATACATAGACACTTGGCCTCTCCAATAAATTTTTTTTTGCATTTTATTTATTTATTCATTTGAAAGGCAGAGTGACAGACATTTTGGTTTTCTTCCAAAATGACCACAACAGACAGGGCTTGGCCAGGCCAAAGCTAAGAGCTCAGAACTCCACCTGGGTCTTCCATGTGGATGATAGGGATCCAAGTACTTGAACCAACATCTGCTGCCTCCCAAGATGTTCATTAACAGGAAGCTTGAACCCAGGCACTGCAGTGCAGGTTACAGATGTCCCAAATGGTAGCTTAGCCACTACACCACAACACCCACCTTTTTTTGCATTTTAAAATGCTGTGTAGCTCTGTACTACATTGATGTGGGAGGATGGCTGTAAATATGAGAGAATTATGAAAAACCTCTCAGAATCACATGGGAAGGTTAAGCCACCACCTGAGATGCTGGCATCCCATATGAGCACCATATGAGCAAGTCCTAGCTGCTTCAGTTTCCATCCAGCTCCATTCTAATGCATCTAGGAAGCAGAGGAAGATGACCTAAGTGCTTGGACCCCTGCCACCCATGTGGGAAACCCAGTTGGAATTTCAGGCTCCTGGGTTCAGCCAGGCATAGCCTCAGCTGTTGCTGTCATTTGGGGAGAAAGCCAGTGGATGGACGATCTCTCCCTCTCTCTCTGTAACTCTACCTTTCAAATAAATAAAATAAATCTTTAATAACAAACTACACAGAGGAAGACAAGCCATTAAGTAACCTAAAGGAATAAGCCTTGGGCCTATTCCTGGACATTTCTGTTCAATACCTTTGCCTGCCCTCCATTTCCTACTTCTCCTCCCCACAGGCTTTTGAAGGAAATGACTTCAGTATTCAAATACAGAAAGAAAGGTCATCATACAAGCAGGTTGTGATTTGGGCCTTTTTACCTGATCATGGCGTGGGGCGGGGGGTGGGCAGACACAGAGGGGAAAATAAGATTACTCTAGGACGAAGACCACAGAAAAGCATGTTAATGGGTGAAAAAGGAGGAGAATTCACTTGCAGCTGGCTTTGCTGCTATTCTGTGGCCCGATGCCCAAGCCGGAAGCCGAGACTAGAGAAACAATGGAGAAGTGGGATCCTGTGTGACGGCAGACTTAACTCCTGGGTTAAAGCTTCAAAGTGTCTATGCTTGAGAAAGAGAAAGAAAGAGAAGAGGAAAGCAAAGGTTTTGTGCCAGAAAAGCTTGATTTATTTCTCTTCCCTCAGCTCTATCAACTCCTCAGTATCCTGCCTTTGCTAAGGATGGAAGCCAAAGAAACCTTCCAGCCACAGAAACCACACTGATGAGCCAGGCCCAAGTAAGTCCCATCTGTGCTTCCTGAAAATACATCATTATCTCCTAAACATGGCCTTATTTTCCCTGCATTGTCTGGCTAGCCAACTCCCAAATCAAGGTGGTCCCTCTCATAAGGGACATTTTGTTGGATTGTTTGTTGGACACTTGTGGATTGTTTGCTCTTTCATTAATCTTTGCTATTGTAATCCCATGTTTCTTTTTATCTCATCGCCAAAGTCCACCTTTCACTTCTGTAAACCTTCCACCTACAAATTCCTTTCTTCTGCCTCTGTTTCCTAAAGAAACTGGTATTTTCTCCAGGACTTCAGAAACATGTTGTTTTCAGGAGTCAGTAGCATTTGAGGATGTAGCTGTGGACTTCACTAATGGGGAGTGGCAGTGTCTGACCGATGTTCAGAAGCAGCTCTATAAAGATGTGATGTTGGAAAACTATGGGAACATGGTATCACTTGGTAAGGATCTACCCTGCACTGGTCTTGGTGCCTTCTTATATCCTTTTTCCTAACTGCTTTATTTATTGATGTATATGGGGGTCCCATTGAAAGTCAGGTCCCTTGTACTTTATCACTGCAATCTCATCCAAAAGTTAGGGTTCTCCATTGCTTCTGTTACATTGCCAGCCTAGTTGCTATTTTCTGATTCTTTGGAATGGAGTTCTGCCTGGGTGAAAAGGAGACACTTAGCTTCTACTTTCCCTAAAATCTTACTTCCTCAACCTCTCATCTTCCATTAAGTGACTGAATTCAGATCCTAGTAGTGAAGGGCCTTTTCTGACCTGAAACAGACAGTCTTCCCATACAGACTCTCATTCCCCTAAAAAGAACAGGGAAATACACCCAAATGACTGTCTCCCAGGAAGTCCCTATACATGTTCTTTTCCATGTTACAGACCCCTGATAAGCACTTTTCTCTGTCCACGTGATTCTCCATATGCAAAGAGGGGGATCAGGGCTAAGTGTTAGGACAGTTCTGTACTTGTTATACCCACTCTTCTTCCTTCTATATCTAGGATTTGGATTTCCTAAACCTCCTTTAATTTCCTATCTGGAGCAAGAAACAGAGCTCTGTGCTCAGGATCCATGGAACAGGAAGTCCCTAAGCTGTTCCTACTCAGGTGAGTGATAGAGAAGCCTTTGTTCCCTGCCATCTTCCATATGCCATAACAGTTATAGAACCTTCTTAGTGGAGTGGCATCCATCCTGACAGACCCAGAAAGAAAATTCATGCCTGATAATTTAGGGAAAAGAAACAATCACAAAAAGCTATCAAGGCAGTTATTCTGTCATTATCTAATTGGTTCTTTGCAACCTGTGTAATAGAGGTTTTGCAGCTTGACCCTCAAAAAATGCTCAGAAAATTCATCTCCTCTCTGTATATCAGTTATTATCAGTTATTCCAGTGCTCACAGAATAAGTTGAGGAAGGGGAAGGCATTCTAGGCAGAGGAAATAACGTGTAAGAACGTTTTAAGGTGTTCAAGAGCATGAACTGTGAACAGAACGGGCAGAACAAAAAATTTGAGGTAGCCAATAGGAAAGGAGCAGGAGCTTTAGAAAGGGGCAAGATCATTGTTTGAAGGACTTTTGTTTGTTTGTTTTTGAGATTTGTTTGCTTTTATTCTTATAAATGTATTTATTATAATTTTATTCTTATTTATATAAATTTCTATATAAATATTGTTATAAATTCTATAATTCTATATAATAAATTCTATAATTTTATAGAATTTTATAGAATTTATTATATAGAATTATAGAATTTATAATAATTTTATTCTTATAATAACAACTAACACTAAGTACTTTAATGTAGCAAATGCTTTATATATATAGGCTCATTTCATTATCATGGGTATTCTAGAGCCTATTTTATAGATAAACCAAGTAAGGCAAGAGGAGAGTTAAGTCATCCTGCCAAGGTCACACAGTTACTGAGTGTCACAGTTAGAATTTGAACTCAAACAGTTTTCCCCCAGAGCTAGGGCTCTTGCCCATATTCCCTACGTCCTCTTAATCCTGGTTAACTATGGAGTGTCATTGGCATGTTCTAAGCTAAAGAGTGACGTAATTAGATCTTATTTTTAGAAAGAATAATCTGGAAGCAGTGTAAAGAGTGGGTTGGAGGAAAGCCAGCCCAAAGGAGTATTGCAGTTGGCTAAGAAGACTACACTAGCAGTAGAAATGGAGAGGAAAGGCTAGAGTTAAGAGATAACAAGATTTATTTGGACCCTTTGGGTGCCAGCAATGGAAATTGACTCACCGTAGCTTAAGCAAAAGGATGTGAATTTGTTTACTGCTCGGGGTGTGTCAGGGAACATACGGGCAGGTATGCATCAGGCTGTAGAGGAGATTAGGTTGCCATCAAACCCCTGTCACCAACTGTCTTCTCTGCTTCTCAGACCAAATGGCAAAGTATTCCCTGCCTTGTACTGTATAGCATCCCACCACCACTGGCTCTCAACTCTAAGTGCTAAAGCAGAATTAGCTACTCTCAGAGTCAGGCCTTCCCTGTCCTCAGATCATAGTTCAGAGTCAAGGATGAGAGAAGCTACCCTGGTGTGCGTCAGGTGTTGCTCACATCTAATCTATGTCACGTAGCAGAAATATAGGGGCTCTTCAGGACCCACTCTTAGGGACAAAGCAAATACTTCCTGGAAACAGACCACATCAACATTTGAGCACCCACTCTGAGGCTCACTTCACAGGTGGAATTTGTGAAAATGAAAGCTGAGTAAATATGAAGGTAAGGAGAGAGAGTTAAAGATGATTTCCAGTTTCTTGGCCTAAGTGGGTAGATTTATGGAGTTTCCATTCACTAAACTGGAAGACTCAAGGAGGAGTAGGTTTTGTAAGAATTTTTTTAGGTTTGTTGAGTTTAAAATATCCTGGGGTGGCCAATTTTGGCACAGTGGTGACGAAGCTGCCCACAGTACCCAGAGTGCCTGGCCTTGAATGTCAGCTCCACTCTGGTTATACTTTCCTGCTAATGTGCATCCTGGGAGACAGGTAACGACTCAAGTACTTACTTCCTGACCACCCAGGTGGGAGACCCAGATTGAGTTCTGGGCTCCTGGCTCCATTCTGGCCTAGCCCTGGTTATTGCAGGCATTTGGGGAATAAAGCAACAGATGGAAAGTCTCTTTCTTCTTGTCTCTCTCACTCTCTCTGTCTTATTCTGTCTCTTCCTTTGTTTCTCTGCCTTTCAAATAAAATAAAACTAAATAAATGAAAATTAAAAAAAAACTACAAGCTAGCCAAAAGAAGAAAATAATTTAAAAAAAATAAAGAAAGAAAGAAAATATCTTCTCATATTTCAGTCTGTCCTGATTTTTGTCCACAATGTCAGCAATTTTTCCAGCATGGAACTGTCATTTACTTTTTAAGCAGCTTCGCTTAGCTTCACTTCTCCCATTTCACTTATTTCCTTTTCTGTGACATTTTTGTTTTTCTGTTTAAGTATCAACTGATAGAACACTGCCTGGGAATGAGAGGGCAAGTTCAGAACAAGAGGTTTTCGAAAACAGAGATGTCTTCCAGCTGAAAAGTAGCAGTCTTCCCAAAGTTATTTCCTGGGATCCTGAAGTCAGAGAAGTTTACGTACAGTGTGTCAAACTAAAGACTCCATGGGAAACACCTTTATGGGGGAAATGGACAGAAGACAAAGATGGCTCTGAAGAAGTAACTTTCAGTGAAGGAAAGAACCAGAAGGTACGTAGTAAAATCTTCAGTTCAAACTCAAAGCATAATCCATATAATAGAGTTCATACAGAACAGCAACTCCATGAACATGCCAGATGTGACAAAGACTTCATTTGGCGTTCAGACCTAATTCTCCATGAGCAAATTCATTCTGGTGAAAAACACCATGTGTGTAATGAGTGCCGGAAAGTATTCAAGACTAGAAATCAGCTTTCTGTGCACCTGCTAATCCACACAAGGGAAAAGCCCTTTAACTGCATACAGTGTGGGAACAGCTTGAGTAGTAGATCAGCTCTTTGCCGACACAAGAAAACCCACAGTGGGGAGAAGTCTCACGTGTGCGGGGACTGTGGGAAGGCCTTCACAACCAGGAACTGTCTCAGGAACCATCAGCTCATCCACACTGGGGAGAAGCCCTACAGCTGTAGTGACTGTGGGAAGGCCTTCCCGTTTAAGCAGTCCCTTACCATCCATAGTAGAATCCACACTGGAGAGAAACCGTATGAATGTGAGGAGTGTGGGAAGGCCTTCAGCGGAAGGTCAGACCTCACCAAACACAGAAGAATCCACACTGGGGAACGCCCTTACGAGTGCAGTGAGTGTAGGAGGGCCTTCAGTCGGAGCTCGGACCTAAACAAGCACATGAGAATCCACACTCGAGAGAAACACTATGGGTGCCCCCAGTGCGGGAAAGCTTTCGGCAGCAGGACTGAGCTCACCAAACACAGAAAGATCCACACTGAAGAGAAACGATACAAGTGCGGGGCCTGCGGGAAAGCCTTTCGCCATAACTGTAAGCTCAGGGCTCACGAACAAGAACACACTGGGGAGAAGCCTTTTCCATGTGGGCTCTGTGGGAAAGCATTCCAGGATCAACACTGCCTTACCGTCCATCAGAGAATCCACACTGGAGAGAAGCCTTATATATGCCCAGAGTGTGGCAGAGCTTTCCGGGGGAAGTCCAACTTCACCATCCATCAAAGAATCCACACTGGGGAGAAGCCTTACAAGTGTGATGTGTGTGGAAAGGCCTTCCACCACGGCTCTGTGCTGCAGCAGCATAGAAGAGTCCACACCGGTGAGAAACCATATACATGCGATGAGTGTGGCACCTCTTTCCGTCAGTGCTCAGCCCTAATTGGACATAAGCGAATTCATACTGGGGAGAGACCTTATGAATGTGAGGAGTGTAGAAAAACTTTCCGAGTGAGCTCAAATCTTACTAGGCATAAAAAAAGAAAACATCAAGTATGGAGAACCCAGGAAAGTTGATTAGAGTGAGAAATCCCACTCTTCCAGTAACCATTTCCTGGAGCTCAGTAGTCAATATCTTGACCATCAGTGCCTGAGTGGAATGACTGGTGTTTACACTTTCCATTTCTCCTTCATCCTCACACACTGGTCCCCCTTATCTCCCAGGCTCATTATTCCCAATTTCCTGAACCCTGAGTGTAAGATCTCCAATGCATTGTCCTTGAAACTTCCTACTTAGTATTATTTCTTCAGCGAGCACATTCACTGCTAATAGTTGATCTCTTCATCAACATAATAAATACTTACCAGTGCTTAGTATGTGCCAGGCACTGTTCAAAAGGCTTTACACATGTTTAACTCATTGGATGTGTATAATGTTGTCCATGTGAGATAAGGAATTTGAGGCATAGAAAGTTTAAGAAACTTGCCCAGCATCATGGTTATGTCAATTCTACATATCGATGAAAGCTTCACAATGATCCCTAGATATCAGGGTTCAGAGATCTTCCAGGTTAGTGAACGAATTGAAGTGCTGGAATGGTGGCTCACCCAGAGAGGCACAGACACTCCCAGTACTCCCCCCATAGCTTCTCCTAATGTAGTTCTTCCGTTTGGCTAATCTTGAGTTGTTCATAAGAAACTAGTAAATAAAGTGTGTTCTTGAATTCTGTGAGCTGTTCTAGCAAACTGTCCAACCTGGAGAGGGGATCACAGGAGCCCCCAATTTGTAGCCAGTCAGGCAGAAGTACTGGAGGTCTGAGATGTGCTACTGGTACCTGAGTAGGGACAGCCTTGTGGCTGAAAAGCTAGCTGCCTCATTTTGCATTTTCCAATTTTACAGTTCTTTATTTTCCTTTTTTAAAAATAATTTTTCACTTATATTAGGCAAACAGGTTTCATGTATTTCATACATACAGCTTTACACAGTGACATACAGTAAACTTAGGTTTACTCAGAAGTCAGAAAAAAAGAAGGCATAAAAAAAGAAAACATCAAGTATGGAGAACCCAGGAAAGTTGATTAGAGTGAGAAATCCCACTCTTCCAGTAACCATTTCCTGGAGCTCAGTAGTCAATGTCTTGACCATCAGTGCCTGAGTGGAATGACTGGTGTTTACACCTTCCATTTCTCCTTCATCCTCACACACTGGTCCCCCTTATCTCCCATGCTCATTATTCCCGATTTCCTGAACCCTGAGTGTAAGATCTCACAAGGTCTGAGCCCTTGACTTGTGGGGTCTACACTAACTCCCAGTAGTTACACAAGAATGGAGTTTGTTCAACACCCAATTGGTGTCCTGGGGAAACAGAAAATTCATTGTTGGTAAATAAAAACACTATAGAGACTCACGGTACACGCAGGAGAGAGAGATCTGTGGAAAACTCCGTCTCAACAGTAACCCCTGGGAACAATGTGGTGACTGTCCTTCCGTTTATCATAGAATGCATTTTGTTTTCTTACTTATTCTTAGGTCTGGAACATCATTCAAAGCCTACACACCAACAGCTAGCTCTCTCTTAGTAGAGCTATATACCTTATTTGGGCAAAAACATCTAATGTTTAGAACCCGAAAAGAACCCCACTGAACTCTCAGTTCTATATACAGGGGCCCTCTGTGCTGTCCCCGCCATGTCCTTTCCACACCCTCCCTAGTTGGAACTCTCAAGCTGGTAGGAGGGAAGGAGGAGATCAGGGAAACCTTTCAGAAGGAAACAACTTCCAAGTTAAGACCTGGAAAAACAGAAAAACAATGCGATGTGTACATAAAGAACTGCTCCGAGCAGAGAGAAGGCATCCCCAGAAACCACAGAGACTTAAGAAGCCAAGGAGTCCCCAGAGGAGCCGTGGCATTTGGCGCTGGTGGAATGTTACCTGTGGTTAGGAAGCAAGGCAGGGCACCAGTGTTCCCCCCAGCCGCCTCTTCTCTACTCCATAGAGCTCGGTGTCCAAGCATGGAGTGAGCCTGGAGGAACAGCAGATGATTCTGAGCATAAATTATTCCTTTATGTCTTGGCTTACAAATTCCACGAGTCTGACATTCACTAGTTCTTAAGAAAGTGTGTGCAGCGAAGGTATTTTTTATATTACTCGTTGCTGTACCCACAGGGCCAAATATATTGGCCTCTCAATAATGGAGAAATCGTCCCCAGGGACGGTGATTTCTGACTTCTGAGTAAACGTAAGTTTACTGTATGTAACTGTGTAAAACTGTATGTATGAAATACATGAAACCTGTTTGCCTTATACAAGTGAAAACTTATCTTTTTAAAAAAGGAAAATAAAGAACTGTAAAATTGGAAAATGAGAAATAAGGCAGCTAGCTTTTCAAAATAAGATATAAGTAGCACTTTAAATATGACCTGAAGTTTGTTAGTCTTCCTGCTGTGGAAAAAAAATCAGGGGGCTGAGGGCCTCATAATGTTGGAGATGAAAACTGAGAATGAAGTGCTAATTAATTCCCAAGAATGAAGAAAAACCTTGGCAGCGGTGGGATTCGAACCCACGCCCCCGAAGAGACTGGAGCCTTAATCCAGCGCCTTAGACCGCTCGGCCACGCTACCACTTCCGGATGCCTATCTTGTCTATGTTTTCCTTATGAATTAATCGGGCCTCTGTGTGCCTTCGGGCGCTGCTCCTGACTGGGACCTTTTGTTGGTGGGCACTGCTCCCCGCGGAGGCCGCCGCCCGGCTGGAAGTCGGTGTGGCGGCACTGTGGCTCGGAGCCCCTGCCCCGCGGGTCTCCAACGCAGGGGGCGTCCCCCTGAGGCCGGGTGCCGAGCGAGTTCCACGGCGGCGGTGGCCGCGGGGGCTCCCGCCAACCCGTCGGACCGCGTGGGCCCCGATCGCACGTGGCCCCGGTCCCCGCAGAAGCGCGCCCGGCGCCAAAGGCGTCGGCGAGCCGCGCGGAGACGCGGGGCGGCGCTGGGGCCCGGCGGCGCGCTGCCCCGAGGAGAGGTCGCCTCGGGGGTCCTGGGATGAAAACGCGGTGCGCACAGCCGGGCGCGGTGGGGTCGCCGGGGAGGCAGCGAGCGGAGCCCAGCGTGGCCGTCCGTGTCCGGGAGAGCCAATGCGGCTGAGGGTTTGCATCCGCTATTCCCGGAAAACGAGGCCGCTGAGTGTCCCGCGTCGTGCTGGGCTCTCCGAGTCCCGCGGCCGTGGGAACACCGCCACCTCTGTGCGACTTAAAGCGACAGAAATCCCCGCAGCTCGACCCGCAGGAGGCGACGAGGTGTTCAGGGGAGGCGCTGATGCGCTGCCGGCCGGAGTCTCGTCTTCTGAGGGGTTTTTTGTTTTTTCTTTGATGACTCTCCCTTATTCCATTTCTTTGAAGAATATGCAAACGCAACTTGTGCGTTCGTGGGAAGCAGGTGTGGAGGCCTTGGGAAGATCCCGCCGTCCGCGAGCGACGCGGGGTCGCCTGAGGGAAGGGCCTGCAGGCGGAGCAGACGCGCGGGGAACGCGCCCCGCTGCTGCTCGCTCTCCACAACACCTCAACTTAGCGTCCGCCATGCGTCCCGCTCGCTGGCTCTCCCCTGGAAACCTGACGGCACTCGGGACAGCGCCGGGAACCCGACTTACACAATTGGCAGAGAGAAAGCCGTCCAGACAAAACAGGGAGGGGAAATTGACTCACTCGGTCTCCAGCCCGCCTGACGTGCGAGGGAGGAGAGAAAAAGTGACGTTCCCTGACCGGGAATCGAACCCGGGCCGCGGCGGTGAGAGCGCCGAATCCTAACCACTAGACCACCAGGGAAGTTAGAAGAGTGTTTGAGCAAAATACTTACCAGTTGAAGCTAGTATTACTATGTACATGATTTTCCTCTCCCGGTTTCTCAGGGAGCGAGCGGAAACCCATTTTCTTGTCGCACCAACTTCCTGTTCCGCACTAAACAATAAAATCTGGAAAGCAGAGGTGGCAACGCGGAAAAGGGAATTCGGCCGGCGCCTAGCTGGATAGCGGGGCCTCGGCTCGTCGACGTGGGAACTGAACCGGAGGGGAGTCTCCCGGCAGTCCCGTCACGGTGATCGCTTCCCGTCTTTCATAAAATGGTCAGTCATTCGAAGACACGGAGCGTTCTTAAATTTATCTTTGGTTCCCTGAGAATTCTTGTCATGGTGTTTATAAACCCTTTAATAGAAAACCAAGAGATAAAGTCATTAGAGTTTATTTCAGAACTTCTGTGGGCGGAGCCGAAATAGCTCAGTTGGGAGAGCGTTAGACTGAAGATCTAAAGGTCCCTGGTTCGATCCCGGGTTTCGGCAGGTGACTTTTTAGAATTTATGATTAAAAATTTTCCTTTATAAACACAAAAATACTCTTTAGATTCTAAAGAAAAGCACAGTTTTCTCAAAATAGAAAGACCCAAAATCCCCTTCCTCATCTCACTAGACATAACAGAGACAAATGTGCTGAAGGAGAACTACTCATCCGCTTTTGTTGTATCTAGTATCTTCGTTCTTGGCTTGAACTTTGTTCCCTTTGGTCTATGTTCCTCCTTCTCCAAAGTTAGCCCTTCTTCATTCCCATGGAGTTATTACAACAGTTTTGAGCCGAAGTCAGGACCCTCAAAGGACTCTTTCTCCCATTCTTTCCACTTCGTGTACCACCTTGCCTCCACCCGGGTCTTATTCTCTGCCAGCTTCTAAAATTCACGCAAAGAGGGCGGGTGGGCCAAGTAGATGAGAAGGAGAGAAGTTTGATATGAAGGCTATTAGTTACATTTTATCACTGACCTTGAGTTTTCTGAATTTAATATTCATTAGGTGAACTTTTATGCAACCCTAGAGGACAGAGAGGGATGGCAAGGGGACTGCAGGAAGTTTCTAGAACAGGAAGTCACTTGAGTTTAATTGAAGAAGCGACTCCTGGCTGGAGGTGGGGCTGAGAGCTGTAGAGCCCTGCAGGAGAGAAAGCTAGGAGAATCCCCATTGGCATGTCCCAGCATCTTCCTGTCCATGCAAGGGAGACGTTTTCCCCATTTCCAAGAGTACTTCATATTTCCTCGATGTTTCTGACCACTTCCCCCATTCTACTCTGCCCTTGTGTGTTCGCTCTCCCTTCTTTACCTGCCTCTCTTCATCTGCAGAATGCCTCAATCTTCCTCCTTCCACAGGAACACGGGCATCATCTCCGTCTTTCTTTCCATCTAGCACCACCCTTGCTGCCAAAACAGTGTTTGTCTCCCCTTCTTTGCCGCTGTTCTGCTCCCAGGAAACCATTACCATCAGCTTCCCGACTTTCAAATATCTTGGGTCTGTCTTGACCACAGACTTAATTTCGTGCAGGAGGCAAACCTACTGACACCCCTGTGTTTCTGAAGCCCTCCCCCTTTGGGCCTTGGAACTACACGCTTCCCCATGCTTCGCTGTGCTCCCCACTCTAGGCTGCTCCATTTCAAGAATCCCTTTCCCCCACTGGAGGGCTCTTCAGAAATGGCTCCTGCTCCCGGTCCTGACCGCCATCTTTTCTACCTTTTTTTTTTTTTTTTTTTTTAAGCAATTGTGGATTCCTATGCATTTATAAGAAATAGCACAGAGAGATTCCGTGTTTCTTTTACTTAATTGTCCCCTGTGGTAACGCTTTGCAAAACTACAGTGCAATATCACAACTCAGATTATTGACCCTGAGCGTCAAGAAACCGGATGTTTCTATCACAGGACTCTCCTGTG